ACATATGGTGATGGATAAAAACTAGACTGTTGGCGCTGAACACAATGCAGTCTATATAGAAACTGAAGTATGATAATGTACACCTGAAATTTACAGTGTTATAAGCCAATATAACCTCAATAAAATACAATTAAAACGCCCTTTAGGAAAAACATTCTATTTATTTACTTTTGACTTTTATCTACTAAAGCAATGAAATAAGAAGCATTTTCTGATACTAATAATTTATATGTGGGTAACTATGCTTCTTTGTGAAGTTTTAGTGGAGTTTTAAGCTTCAAAATATTACATCTACCTGTATTTACAAACTGTCTGTTATACTCTGTAATGAATTAATAGTGTTAAAATACTTAAATACTGTCAGTGTGTTGGGGAGCACGGAGTAAGGCAGCTGAGATGACTTATTCAAATGCTGACCTAGTGGGCTGCACAACCCTATGAAACTCAACACACCCCGCTTTACGTAAGAAATACTTTACACTGACCCCTCCAACAATCTGAATGAATGCACAGATAAAATAACCAACCTATGTATGTAATTTTTTTAATGAAAATCAATACCCTAACAAGTACAAAGGAGAAATTTTAAGAGATTTATGATAACAATATGCATTTCAATATGTGAGTCTCAGACCTGATCACACCAGAAGACACAAGGAAGTAATGAGACAGTAGCACATACACATAAAATCACAGTGAATGTAACCATTCCAATGTCCAGACTGGTACACTGTACCGGCGATTTGATTACTACGAGCATCAGTGCCATGGGCAGCATGGTTCTTCAAATGGTGAACTACTGGCAAAGCTCAGAACAAAATTAACTAGACCCTCCCTCAATGTACACTGCAGTTACAGCACTTGGAAAATTCAGAACAGGTTAAAACTTTACAAAGTATACTTGGCATTCCAATTATGCTTTTAGGTTCATTTAATTATAAAGAAGGCCTTTCACCCACACACAGATATCCAAATGGGACATTCAGAAGCCCTCCAGAACATGGGACTAATCTTTGTTGTTTTCAAAGATTGTCCCACACACTACAGACTATGTTCCTTGGCCCCACTCACTAAATCCCCTTCAACTGTTTCAACTACCGAAAACACCCTCATAAACTTCTAGAACACCTCCTAGAAAGTAATATTACCCCCAGTGCCACCCCCACTGAGAACCACAGCTCTAACCAAGAGCCCCTGGTGTGCCAAACAACTGAGACGGTCTAGTTGATCTGTGCTCAACTGAAACAGTCATGCTACTGAGAAACCAAAGAACACGCAAGCACACTATTAAAGGATTTACCAAATCACTGTTGATTTTAAATGCTTACATTTTCCCTTAGGATCATTAATAGTTTGTATGAATTAAAATAGATAAAGGTGTCTACAATTAGTTCTGAAAGAGACACTTAAATTTAGCTCTGCTTTCAAGTCAAATGAAATTCTTAAACAATAGGAGTATCTGCTGCACAAGTTGGGAAAAAATAAGGCAGGCGAACACTGACACTTGTGGTCATTCTGAGATTGCTAATTTGCAACCAGGCTAATTCCTGCTTTGTGAATTCAAAGAAAAGTAAAACTGGTTCATAAATCATCTACTGGCTTCAAAGGAAAATTCTAAACTCTTAATAAACACAATAATTTTTCTTCAAAAAGGGAAAACTACTAATAGTAAATAACCAAAAATATGCCATTCATCCAAATCTTTTACGTAATGAAAAGAATTTCATCTGATTTTAAGTCAAAACAGTGAAGAGATATAGCAAACATTACTATGCAAAGTTGTTGATCTCAATAAAACTAAAACTGGTCTCTAAACAACTATGTTAAATGGCATTCTTCAGAGTACTATGGTGGGAATTACACCCGATCCACAATATCAAGATTTTTCTCCAGCATTTTCTTCAGGTGAGCCCTAGCTGAAATCAATGGCTTGCACTTAGGGGCCAACTACTCACACTAAAGCACAAACAGGAATGGAGACCAACATAGCAAAAACCAGATTCACATCTCCCTTCTCACAATATTTGCTCATTCTCAGTGAATGGAAATCACCTGCCACGGTTGACGGGTTCTCCCCACACCCGTCTCCCTCATTCTTTTCACCGAGGATGTTTAGTTGAATTTATATGATATTAGAACTCCATGAAAGTACTTGTCTTTACTATTTGACAGTGAGCAAATCTATACCTGATTCATCTTGGGATAATCACTCCAAAACTATTAAGTACATGAATAAAGTAATACTTTTGTCCCCAGTAGAAACTAAGAGTTAGGAGGTGCTGCAAAACCTGTCTTCAAATTCCGGCTTCTTGAGGGCTGTCTCAGACATGCCCAAGAAAATTCTAGAGCCAGCCAGGACAGTTCTGGCCATAAGGCACAGAGTAATGACTACCTACTTTCGCATCGAGAACGTGTTATAAGATTTAAAGGTAGACCTATGCAAGTAAAAATTACAAGACAGTTAGAACTATAAAACTTAACACAACAGCTGCCAGTTTGCAGAATCTGACAAAGGAAACTGTCACATTTACTGAGAAAGTTTAAGCATAGAATTCAGATGTTAAAAGAAACTAGACTAAAGGCAGAACTTCTACAAGCTTGCCTGTCGTAAGATTTTTAGTTTCCCTTGGCTGGAAATACGTAGGTTGCTAGAAAAAGTCCCTACAGGAACTGTTCTCTCAAGTCTGCTCAGTTTTTCTGTACTTTATGTAAAATTCTTAACCAGCTTAACCTAAACTTAAGAAACAGATTGCAGGTATACCTAAAAGTTTAAAGCAAATTCTGATTAAGTACACAGGCACCTTTTTTATTAGTTTTCAGAGGTCTCTCTTGCTGTATAAACACTTGCCTCATAGCAAGCATAGCTGAGACCACAGCCCACTGGGAATTCTGGGGCTCAACCCAATACTGGAGAGAACCACTAAGCAGCAGGTTATCTATGGAGTTCTCTTAACATTCAAGATCCATAATAAATCCAGCGGGGCATCAAAAGAGAGTTCAATCAAAAGCACTGGCAAAAATAACTGTTTTAATCCTTCCTGGAGAAAGGGTAAGGAATGTGTCTAAACCATCTTTGTATCCCTAACTGCAAATGTTGGCACACAATAGTTGATCACTATGTATTTGTTGAACAAGTTTAAAGTGAAAATATAAACATCCATACATAGAATATACTTCTATGAATGATTTCTGGGTATGCTGTGCCAGTACTACAAAAAAATCCCACAATTTCTCTAGCAGTGCCATGTAGCACAATGGTTAAGAACAGAGCATAAAGACTTGGATAATCTTGCTTTAATTCCCAGCTGGAATCTTTCTCATTAGCTGGTATTTGGGATAATTATTTTACAACTCTAAGCACTGGTTCCTCATCTTTAAAATGGGTATTACAATGATAAAACTATTAGGAAGAAAAAAAGTCACTTATATAACAGCTCAAAAAGCTTTAGACTGCAATCTGACTTTGGATAAATAGTCAAGAAATGGTCTCTGTTGATAGCTGCATAGCCAAATCTTATATAACGAATTACTGAAAAATACTAATCTACTAAAATCCACTTCTACTTTTGTAAAAAAAATTATTTTAAGTATGCACTTAAGCATTACTCTGTTACCTAAGTTTAATCTAAAAAAAAAAAAAAAAGAGTAGTGAACACATAGCATGGGTGGACATTTCTGTAGTAAATGCCAAGAAACCTGGGTTTTAGTTCTCTCCTCCACACTTAACTAGGGAAAGTCAAAGCTCTAGCCCAAGGTTTCCCATTTATAAAATTCTTAATGTTCCTTTTGACATTTCTAGGAAAATCACATACACTCCTATAAAACAGTCATAGGACTCCTAAAACTCCAAAGCACATTCCATCAGCTACATTAAAAAATATAATGAGGACAAAAAAATTTAAAATATTAGAGAAAATGTAAATCTATACTTGAAATAGACATTACTGGGGAAGATAGGTAGGATGAAGAGCACACATGACTACAAACATACAGCCTAAGTTCCAACGCGATCAATTTCTAGGAGTTAATGTCCCTGAAGTCTCAGAGGAAAAAGATAATTCAGGCTACCTAAAAAAAAAAAAGAGAGAGAGACATTTCAGTATTCTCTAGAAAAAGAGAAGCAAGCAAGGTGCCCAGGAGACTAACCATACAAAGAAATACTTCAGGGTGAGTATCTACTGCTTACTGAAAATCTGCCTCATGGCAAGTTACTAAAGCACCCTGAAATATTAGGACAAGTAAATATGATCACCCACCAAGAAGATCCTGTATGAGTGTGCTGTATTTGTTGAATTCTACCACACACGAAATTTTAAAGAAAAGGGAAAATAAATAAATAATAAATGCTGACATTAAAAAGTGATTTAAAAAAAAGTTTTGCTGCCTTTAAGACCACTAGAAACCCTAAGAGAGAAAGCAAGGAGGGGGCTTTATCACATCACATGTCAGTAAAGCAATCCATCAGCTGGTTTCTACAAAACCCAGAATAGGGGGGTGGGAGAGAGGGTCTAAGTTACAGATAAAGGTCTATGAGTCCTACCTAGATATTAGTAAAATCAGAGCAATGCGAGGAAAAAAACTTCAAGGAAGGAGTACAGTAAGGGGTTAAATTACAGCAAGTTACATATAAAAGCTTAAATTGCTTATGCCCTATAAAATCATGTAAGAAACATGAAAACCAGCATCTAACACTGAAAACATTTAGAAAGCCTGTGCTTAAGCATAAAGTAAAAAAAAAAAAGGAAATAAGCTGGAAAAAATAAAATTATAACCATTCATTTCATAATCATCCCTTTCTTGTATTATTCACTCATCACTGCACTTGTACTGAATATATATAATTTATCACATAGAAGCAGAATCTCTAAGCTTCTCCCTACCTTAGGATTTTAGTCAAAATGAATGCAAACAATCACGTGGGATTCAGCCAAGCAGTGACGTTCAATTCTGCTCTGTCAGAGAGAGCATCTGTCAAGCCCACATTTAAACTGCTGCCTGCCTGTGCAGCAGCTGAGGAACCGTGGATTTCATATTACAGACTAAAACCCCAGTAAAACTGCTTAAAATCCTTCCTGCAGCTGCCAGGCAACAACGAGAGTTAAACCCTCTTCTTTTCCAAGACAATCGAAGCCCTACATTCTAGCTCTGGCTGCTTTACATTGCAGCTCAGTGTTATTACTAGAAATATGGATACTGGGAAGAGAATACAGCACTGCATTGTCCGACCAGGAAAACAGCAGATGTGAAAAGCCTCGATGCATCAACTGTCGGGGAGAGTCAACAGTGCTCCAAACAGAACGAGCAACTGCAGCTCTTTTGTTTAAACAAAGAGAAAGAAAATGAAAGAAAGGAAAAACCTCAGAAGACTAGGACCCCTATGAACAAGGGGGGTAACTTGAAGACAAGCAGACAGATGGACACTTTGGATACTGTGAAAAGCAATCGCAGGAGGCAGACTACTGGGGGATGTGCGCATGTTCGATAGCATCTTTTTTGCTGAAGTGATGGCGTGCCAAAAGTATTTTCAGTGGGCATAATCCTCTCCACATAAATGGCCTGACCAAGGAAGGTATGTCGATATCTTGTGTGTGATATTCAGTGAAATGTCTGTTACCTTTTCATTGCCCTGGAGGCACTAATATCTGATAAACAAGTTCATACAGTTCACTGTCCTTGAAACTATGACAGGGTTTCTAAATTTATGATGTTAAAATTTGTCATTGTTTAGAAAACAAGCTGTCACTGGTTTATTCAAGTAAATATGTAGCTTGGAGTAGTTACGGATTAGTAGACATAAGAGAGAGAAAAAGCAAATAGTAACAAGATGTGCTTAAAGGATTCTCTGAGAAATTAAACTTAAAAAAAAAAAACTCTGTAGCCCTCTAAAGAAAACACAGAAATCCTCTAACAAATTAGGTCACATTGAATCCTATCTAGTAAATTAAAGTGCTTTCTTAAAAATGGCTATCAAAAGAGACAATGCAGTGAAATTTCATTAAATATTATCAAAGATGATCTTAACATTAAGAGCTTTTTTCAAAGTCCTTTTAAAATAAAATCTTAATATATAACAGCTTTTAGTAACAGAATCTTCCCTCCAGTATCTCCCCAAATAAAGATAAAGAACACAAACTAAGAGAGTATGAACAAATTTTAAGTATTATCGAGGTATACGATACTAAAAAGAAAGCATTTGCAGAGGATCACATAAGGCAGTCTGAGTTTATGGAAAGGACAAGACCACAGTAGATTTGCATGTGATCACAGTGTCCATGAAGACAACTTTAAACAAAGAAATATCAATAGTTGCTAAAAGATTCCCTCATTTGAAATAGTGAGCCTTTATTTTAAGCAACAGACTGATTCTGAATGAGCAAATATGAGGCTGTTCTTGGTGAACATTTTTAAAATGAAATCAGAAACATAGTATAAAATTACTTTGATATAAAAATATACATGAACAGCAATACAAGGTCAAAATATTAAACATAAACGTAGTTACTGTGCTTCCAGGCTATATTAATATGTAGTAAGGAACTACTGCCATGCTATGTGTGTGCAGGGCAGAAATAAACCTAATAAACTATTTTAGCAACAATCATAGTTAGAATAGCAACTCATGGCTCAGGAACTCAAAGATATTTCTAGTATTTCTTGCTGATCTATCAAAGATCCTGATTTTTGCTCAATTTCACAGCACAACTCAATAACTTATTTAATAACCACAAAAGGCAAACAATTTTAAGACATATGTAAGCATTCCATTCTAAAATTAAACGAGCTTATCAGGCCCTATTATTATTACATCGCAACATCAACTCGCTCATACCATGAATTTTTATTCCACCAAAGAATGAAATCAGATGGTATTAAACAAAAAAATATGGTTGTAAAAAATCTCAAGTCTCTCAGATTAAAGTCACCAATCATTTTTACAAGCTAGATATCTCAAAAGTATAGGATTATTTTATTCAAGCGCCACTTAGATCTAAAACTGTTCAAACAGACTAAAGATATCAACACTTTTAGAAGCCAAATAATGAAAACTCTGTGTGTGTGAAGTCACTGAACATTTTACAGTAACGCTCTCTCCATGAACTTCAATCCATAAGATGTAAATACACATTAATAACTGGAAAATATTGCCATAAAAAACTCAGGAGATAAATCAAAGCTACTTCCATGCTGAGATGTAAAAGTCAAACTATTTAGAAAACCAAAATACTGTAACTTTCTTGTCTTGTTCCTACTTTTAAGAATTAAATACAACAGGCAGTAACTAGAGAATAATTTTATTATTTAATAAAAGGAGGAACAGTTTACTTTTAGTTTACTCTCCTTTTAACAAAATTTTATGATAAATACCTGAGAAACTTTTAAGAAAGAATTTTTAAGGCTAGACACATGCACTTCATTTATCAATGGGAGATTAACAAATAGTACATGGATTTCAAGCCTGAGCAGCTTAATATTTACAAACACACAAATATGATGAATTTAAATTAAGATGCATCTCTATCACCTATTGCTACAAAATCACATAGGACCATAAACTATGTATTTGTGCTAGATTACAACATATAATAATTTGCTGTTTTCTATAACACTGAAATACTTTAGAGACATCACTTCAGGTATACTGTTTTCAAAAAATATCACAATTTACTACTATAGTATTTACTTTCATTCATTTCTTCAGTCCTTTATTCAAACATTCACTCAAACAGCTGCCCTTGTATTTACTGCTTCCTAACACCAAATTTACACTTTTAAAAGATCTACATGATTGGACTTCAACCAGATTCCAAGCACTATTACATTAACAGAGAGCTGATACATTTAATTTAGCTTTGGAATGTTTAAAATACATTATCAAGTCAATTTATAAAGCAGTTTTTGTTTCTTTTAAATTTACACACATAACCCTTACATCTACTGGCTTTTTTATGAGGTGAAGGAAGAATCATTACTATTTATCAAATATTTCATTTGAAATAAAAGCTTAGAAACTGTGTCCTGGTCCAAACAGAATGGCAAACTATTTATAAGTGCAAGAAGGAAAAACATGAGTTTCTACATCAGAACACTCAGCTCTATTACCTTCAGCTTAGCTCACAGCAGAACTATGTTTTACTCATACAGTCAATCGCCTTGGTCTTCATTAGAGTATGTGAAATTAAAATTCATGTAAATAAACTCTAATAAATAGAAAAGTAGATTCTATGTTTTTAAAATCCCAAACTTAAAAAAATCCCTGTTCCTAGCTCACAAAATGATTAAATAATTTTTTACAGTTGAGAAATACCATAACTTCTAAAAGTACTACATAATTTCAGATACTAGAAATTATTAAAAGCTGGCGCCTGTCCTATTACACTTTAGAAATTCGTCCCATTTCCCATCTACTTGCTCCTCCTAGTGGCTGTTACTAGAATAGTAGTGCTTTCATTCATAGGTATGTCTTAACACTTTCAATCAATATTTTCAAAGTAATTCACATTATATACGTGATTTTTAGTCTACAATTATTCAATTATATGAGGACTTGCATGTAAATGCCATTATTTTCCAAAAGTAATTAAACGTCATGTCAAGTTAAACAAATGTGGTATCAACCATAAATCTCCCAATACCACAGGCTAAATAAACAGATACGTATGTATGTATACATTATTATTTCAAATAAACAAATGTTCCTATATTTTTTAATTGACTAGTTTTCTTTTGCTTAAAGAAATAATTTCACAATAAAAAGTTGAAAAAATTAAAATTACACATTTGCCACCTTCCCAAAAAGTTTTTTCTCTCAATAGAAATAAAACTACAGCTCCTTGCCCACCTCAACCCCCACGCCTTGATCCAAAAACCTAGAAGTGAAAACCATGAACAAATTTGTGCTATGCACTGAAAAACCTTGTTCAAAGATAACACAACCAGTTCTTAACATGAGGCATCATGAACCTTCCATATTGACATCTCATATCTTTTTAAAAATCTAAGGCTCTAAGTGTCATGCTAGCAGAAGTCCTAAAAATAACACGTTCTCTACATGCAAATTCAGAACACAGCACAACTCAAGAAATCTTTAAAAATGCATTTTGTGAAATTTCCATTTTAAACAGTTGGATATGATAGTACCTAGTGCCTATAATTTTATAATAAATCTGAAGACCGTTCAAAGTAACTCTTTGTTTAATTCTAACATGGAGACTCAACTGAGACATGACAGCGCTCTGCCAAGGCCACAGATAACTAGTGATAACTAGCTGCCACATTTTAAAAATCAATCTTAAGTCTAAGTAAGGACAATGATCTCCTGAATACCTCATATTTGAGATGGAAGGTAAAAATTAGATAAGAGTGCTTGAAAATGTTCATCATTTATTACTGTCTTAAAATACTGCACTGAAGTTACTGGACCCTGAAAATTAATTTTGACAGGTGCATCTTCTCATTGACTTTCTCAACACAGTAGGGGCCAATGGAAACACGCCAAGCAGTGTACTGTGACTAACAGAACTCTGCCATCATCAACCTTGCACCGTCTGTCCCACAACTGATACATGACCATTTTACAAAAAAGGCCACTGACTGTGCTCCATACCACCAATGGTATGTCAAATCCATTTTAATTAATGCCAATAAATTTTCCATCTGCTCTCAGGCCTTCTTACACGGCCTCTCTCAGGAATCCAGTAACATTCTTCTCTTCTACATGCATAAAACTAAATCTTTAACTCGGGTCAAAAGTATAAATGATCATCAGAGCTGAGACAATGAAATAAGTGGAAGAAAATCAATCCATCACTTCTCTTTAAAGTGCTCATTGTGCGACAAAGGTACATTTTTAATGAAATTAATCCTGTTCTCAGTGATGGAATGTTGCCAACAAGAAACAAACTATAAACTTTGTCCCCAGGTTATTATATTTTCACAGCCTAAATATTCTCATGTGTCCTAATTTTACTAGCATCCAAAGTCTCTTTCAGGCAGTTCTGTAACATTTACCATTTTATAAACTTTTATGCTTCATCTTTACAGAATGACTGCGAGGGAAACAATGTGACCGAATTAGAAAATGATTACCAAAGAACAGTATTGATTCAGGAGAAGAAAACACTTTCAGCCACCAATATTGCATATCTCATTAGTGGATATTTACAACATGCTTCAGTGGAGGAGAAGACACTGCTGCTTTGCAAAGATGAGCTGGAATGCCAAGAGGTCTCTGTTCCGTACCCATCTTATTGGTGTACTTTCTCTAGTGTTTCTTTTTGCTATGTTTTTGTTTTTCAATCATCACGACTGGCTGCCAGGCAGAGCTGGATTCAAAGAAAACCCTGTAACATACACTTTCCGAGGATTTCGTTCTACAAAAAGTGAGACAAACCACAGCTCTCTTCGGAACCTTTGGAAAGAAACAGTCCCTCAAACTCTGAGGCCTCAAACAGCAATTAATTCCAATAACACAGACTTGTCTCCACAAGGAGTTACAGGGCTGGAGAACACACTTAGTGCCAATGGAAGTATCTACAATGAGAAAGGTACTGGACATCCAAATTCTTACCATTTCAAATATATTATCAATGAACCTGAAAAATGCCAGGAGAAAAGCCCTTTTTTAATACTACTAATAGCTGCAGAACCTGGACAGATAGAAGCTAGAAGAGCGATTCGGCAAACCTGGGGCAACGAAAGTCTAGCACCTGGTATCCAAGTGACACGGATTTTTTTGTTGGGCGTAAGTATTAAGTTAAATGGCTACCTTCAACGTGCAATACTGGAAGAAAGCAGACAATATCATGATATAATTCAACAGGAATATTTAGATACATACTATAATTTGACCATTAAAACACTAATGGGCATGAACTGGGTTGCAACATACTGTCCACATATTCCATATGTCATGAAAACTGACAGTGACATGTTTGTCAACACTGAATATTTAATACATAAGTTACTGAAGCCAGACCTGCCTCCCAGACATAACTATTTCACTGGTTACCTAATGAGAGGATACGCACCCAACCGAAACAAAGACAGCAAGTGGTACATGCCACCAGAACTCTACCCAAGTGAGCGCTACCCTGTCTTCTGTTCAGGGACTGGTTATGTTTTCTCTGGTGATCTAGCAGAGAAGATATTTAAAGTTTCTTTAAGCATCCGTCGTTTGCACTTGGAAGATGTGTATGTAGGGATCTGTCTTGCCAAGCTGAGAATTGATCCTGTGCCCCCTCCCAATGAGTTTGTGTTCAACCACTGGCGAGTTTCTTATTCAAGCTGTAAATACAGCCACCTAATTACCTCTCATCAGTTCCAGCCTAGTGAACTGATAAAATACTGGAACCATTTACAACAAAATAAGCACAATGCTTGTGCCAACGCAGCAAAAGAAAAGGCAGGCAGGTATCGCCACCGTAAACTACACTAGGAAAGACAACTTTCTTTTTCAAACGTGCAATCTGTAAAATATTGCTAAAAGCATGTATAGTTAAAACTGATTACATCCATAGGACAAGTTTTAGTTAAAACTCATCACATACAGGAATTCAAAAAATTATTTTTTTAATTTCTGAAGAAGGTAATTCTCCAAAATACATTATATAACAAAAAGATATCCCAAAAGAATCTATTTAAAAAAATTGTATAAAGGGATTCTGTGTATTAACATGCAATAACAAGCATGCACACATCAATGGTTCAAGATTTATGTTAGGGGCCAACAAGATGTATTTGCATATATCATCCACATAAATTTTAATTTAAGAAATGGAGACATTCAAAACACCCTTCATTTTAAATTCAGTTTTTCATATCACATAAATAATTAAATGTAAATAAAACATCACTGTCAATTTTAAGGAAACTTTGTAATTGTGCAAAGGACAAATTTTCTGACCTGACTATTCTAGGGTTCTAAAAGCTATATTCCATGCAATAAGATTTAGTTGAATATCATAAACACATTTATAAAGTTCAGATGTTTCATCAATGCAGTTCTCATCTAAGTCCTTACTTTTTAAAAACATCTGAAATATTTTCTTTTATTAATACTCACATATATCTGGGAAAATTATTTTGACATGATGTGATAAAATGTGAAAAATCAATGTGTCTCAGGCTCAAGTTTTTATAAAAAAAAATTTAAATGTTTCAAAATAGACAAAGTTTGTTTCCTTGTTGGTGTTAAGGGCCAAGCTAGTATTTCAATGAGTTATCCAATTAGATCAGTTACTGCACTCTTAAGGAGCACCACCACTTCACTTCAAGCGTATCTGTAAAAGTGTATCATGTTCCTCGAACTGAAGTAGAAGTGATTACTTACAGGCACAAAGAGAATGTACTGTTGGAAAAAGATAAGGGATAAAGAGCGAAGCAGCAGTTTCATTCAATACATTTTTAAGATGCATGTCTGCCAAACTGCACCATATGGGAAGTTTATTTCCTGACAGCAGGTGTACACATGCCAATACTTCATCATTTCATGGCACCGACTTCTTTCTCAGAGTGCCAAGTTTACAAACCTGCAGTTTTTAACTTGGTAGATGACAAATATTCCACATCACCAATTAAAAACCTTTTTGGGAGGGATGGGAGAAAACTACAATGTTTGATGAAAACTTGATTCTAGAATGAACAATGTATACAATGCACTTTTATCAAGTTTTTAATAAAAAAAAGTAAACGAAAAATCTTTACTGAGTGTTATGGTACAAATATTTTCACAGTAATTTTGTTTGGCTCCATTATATATTTTAAAATCGAGAAATACTAACCCACTAACTTTAACATAGTTTTTATTTTATACAAGTATGTAAAATTTATGAATTTAATTTAGTCAGGATGTTACTTATCCTAATTTTAAAGACAATCATTTTTATCCTTGATTCTATTTTGAAGAGATATTGCACCAAAACATAATTTTAACATTTGCAGAAGTTCAGAATCACAGAAACTATTTAAGTACTTACTAATATGTTGAATTCTGTTTATACTCGATTTATCTCCCATTTTCAATTCGGCAGTCTACGTTTTCTATTCTACACAGAGTAACTTTGAAAGCTGAGCTATATAACATCCCCAGCTCTTGGTTAAGTCTGCTCTTCACTTAATTTATTCGATATGATTACAAAAAGACTACAATTACTAAATAAAAGTCACATATTAGAGGATGTATCAAATTAGATGAGCAAGTCTGATGAAAGACAGAAGGAATCTTCCCTCAGTGTAGAATAATGCTCTCAATTATACTTCAGAAGCTTGGGGGGGGGGGGGGGGGCGAGGGTATGTGCACGCATGTGCAAGCACAGGTAGGCACAAGAAACAGAATGCAGGTGCTGTTTGTCCAAATTACGATTCCAGTGCAGGATCTTTAAAAGATAGCACTTTCCTTCTGGAAAAATTCAAGTTTAAAAAGTTGACATATGAAAAACAGAATTCTTAACAAATTCCTCCCATCTCAGACATCAATTTAAAATCATTTCTATATTCCTGATAAAATATCTGGAAAACTGATGGTGATCTGATGACACTCAGAGGTCTCAAAGAGCACTGAATCAAATAAAGTTTCTTAATACTACTGAAAACCCTTATTTTAAAATAAATATTCTATTAATTTATTTTTGATCTTCTACAACAATATGCAAGCTGATTTCTTCAGCAAATATTATGGTATTTAAAAATATCTCACCAAGTATTAATTGTGCCTTTTCATGCCCTACTATGTAGTTACTACGCATGAAAATATAATTTTAAATGACAGCACTGCACTTGGTCAAAGAAAAAATTATAGGAACATCAACTATGTAATCTTTATACTCAAAGTGTTAACAGATATTTTAGAAGATAAAAATACCAAAACTTTCAATATTTACAACAGGTTATCTTGACCAACATTATAGGTGATGAAATTCTAATTCAAGTAAGTAATTTAAATTTCTCACCTTAGTTTACAACATAATCACATATAACTCAACTGGAATCTTAGTTAATATCTATTATCCAAAACCCCTGTAGAAATAACAGCAGCAGCAGCAGGAGCTATCAGTAGACTGAGCATAATTGTGTGCCTGGTACTGTGTTAAAGCGCTTTACAGACATGATCTCACGTAATCCTCTTAAACACTGAGAGACAGGGAAGACAGACTCACACAAAGGGCTGAATATCTAGATCACACAGCTAGGAAAGCAGCAGGGTTCCATTTCAAAGACCATGCTCTCAGCCATTATGTTATTCTGCTGGATATTTCACACATGACACCTGCTGTAAGGTCTAAAAAAGCTCAACAAAAATGGCCTGTCTCTTCTCCTACTCTCCACTTACTCTTCATCTTCTGCCAGGGCCTCCAGGCTTCACAACCGTTTCACACGCTGGAGGGGCATCTGATGTTAGGGGCAAATAAAGAGAAGGGGAAGGAGAGGAAATCCGATCCCTCAGTTATCTTTTCTTCTCCTTTGTAGTTGGTGATGACTGGTGGCCAAAACCTTAGAAAAGCCTAAGAATTACGGCTTATCTCTTGCTCCTCTGGGCTCTGAGACACATCTGTAAACAAGACGCAGGTGGCACTCAGAAATTATTAAAAGGTGCTTGTTCTGAAGCACAAGTGATCATTGTTAATAGACAAAGGCAGCACTGTATTTACCCGTGCTTCTGGTTAGTCACCTTCTGTTTTGTTGATAAGGTGGTAAAATCTTTTCAGCCAGCTGATTCAAGCTTTGGGGGTTGTTTTCAGTTTTTACTGCTTAACTACAAAACTTAAGATTTAAGAAGCCAAAAAAGATCCCCACTACACATTTCTAATATACCTCCCAGAATAACAGTGTATCACTTAAACATTACTCTCAGAAGACAGGTAATGTACATCAAATACTAAAAAGGGACATCTTGAGTTTCAGGAAGAAACCTGTCACTGTACACTCCATCAACACATGTGCACACCCTCCTCCAAGCATGCTGTAACATAAACCTTACTACGTTCCAGATCCAATCTGCCAGAGGAGGCAGGCAAACGTTTCTGCACCTACAGGAATCTCCTCTCCCTTACCACAGCCAATGTCGGAGCTGGAGGACAATGGGGGCTAAGGCAGTTGCTTAGTCTGTGTATTAATCCAGTTATTTCAACTTCCAAATGAATCCTACAGATTATAAATTTGAATCTCACTTTAGTATCCTAAACACTGAAAAAAAGGAAAACGGATCAATAACATCATAAAAAACAAATATTAAAGAACAGAAAGCTATAAATATTATAGCAAAATCTTAAATTCATGTTTGTATGAGTTTTCAATGAAATGTTTAAGGGTTGTATGCTTCATTGTCATAACTAAAATGCTACTAAAAATACATTAGAATATAGATAAAAACAGAATTAACATGGGATTCTGATAGCAATGAGAATTTTCTAACACACTGAAGATTTGAAACAAGTTAATAAAATCACACTATAACCACCACAATAAATTTCTTTCAAGGGATTTAATAAAACTTTTCCCACTTGTGATTTAAAAAGTAAATACTATTAGAAAATTAAAACTAAAGGAAATCACTGTAAACCATACCCAAAATCATACTTAATTGTCAGAAAAAGTTAAGAGTAGAAATAAGAACGCTCACTAAGGCCATAAATAGACATTGTTTTATGATTTAACAGTAGTTTCCAAACTAATTTCCTTAGCTGTTTCAGTAATAGTTAGTAAACCCAAGAGTGGCATTCTAGAGTCCCGCCCTCACTTTAACAGCAACTGCACTTTTCTGTGATACATGAAAAGATTCTATGTCAAAGTTCATTTGAAAAGAGTTTCTATTGTTTTGTTTTTTTAATTGAGATCTTAATGACTCTTGAACTGAAATATAACTACAGAAAAGAGAAAAAAATATATATTTAATTATTATATAACACCCAACAGAGCGAATGACTCAAAGAATAAAAAGAACTCAGAAAATCAGTCAAAAACAAGATTAAAACACTAAAACAAGAGTCTTACACATAATAACCCATTATACAATACTATGGAAAAAAATTAACTCACAAAAACAACATTTTAAAAATAAAGAATAATCACTACAACAAGTAAGAGGGAATTCTATGGGGAATACTGAACTTTTACTGAGAGATATAAAAATTCTGACAATTAAAGGTGAGACTTGTTTTTAGGTAACAAGAATACCTACTTTTAAAACGGACATTCTTCCCCCAATTAAGATATCTTGTTCATCTGCATTTTCTAAATATTCTAGGGGGAAAAGCTGTTTTAATATATAGGGTCAGTGTAAGCCCAATCAAATCTTAATAAATAGTTTTTTAAGTTTCTAGAGTGTGTGAATGGAAATCACAAAATGATTATAAAAGTAATACGGAAAAAAAGTATCGGTAGCTAAGAAAATATTCTAAATGACAATAAAGAACTTCCATAAGCAACAATGATTTTGGTTTGTACTGGTACAAGAATTAGGCAGTTAAATTAAAAAAAAAAATTAGACCTGCAAGAGACCGTACCATTTATAGTAACCTGGTATTACGAACAAATTAGAATTTACTATTTCATTATTCAATAGGAAAACTGGCTAAGGTCTAGGATTTAATCTTTTAGAATTCAAGTTAAGTCCTCATACTATTACAAAAATAAATTCCAGGTGCAGCAAAATAAGTACAATACTGTACTAATAATTAAACTTATCACGCGGGGGTCAGGGGACTATTTTACTGATCACAGAGTAAGAAGGAATTCAAACAGAGAGAGAAAGAAATCAAGCAGGAAAAGATAAACAGAATACTAACCGCTACGTAAAATTAACTTCTACCATAAACAAAATTAAAAGACAAAAGGTAAAAGACAAACTGAGGAAATATTTATAATAATGGACAGTAGGGTAAGTGTCTTGATAAAGAACTCGTAGAAGAAAACATCAATACTCCAAAAGAAATTCAATCATAAGTCATAAATAAATCACAAACAATGAAATTATCCAATAAATAAAACATATTCAGCCTCAAGAGTAGTGAGATAAATGCACTTAGAATGCACCAGGTCCCATCTTTATCTTTCAAATCGGAAGGTAATTTTTAAAGTAATAGTCTATTCAGGTAATGAAAATGAGAAAGTACCCCAAATGGCAGTGTAAATTGGTAAAGCCTTTCTGAAAAAGAACTTAAAAATATTTAACAAGAGCCTTTCAACCATCCACCCTCAATTAAAAATCTATTATCAGGCAATAATCAAGGAAGCAAAACAAGGAAAAAATTTTAAATTCTCAAAATAGAAATTAAATAAACTGTGGTAATTATATAATGGAATATTATAGTCATTTAAAATTTGGATTCAAAGACTATTTAATAACAGAAAAACACTCATATATTCTATTAAGCCAAAAAAAGAAATCAAGACACAAAACAACGTAACACGGTTCATTTTCCACAACCAGACACATTCAAAAAAAAATCCTAGAAAATACATAAAAAACAAATGGTGATTTCTGGAAAATGGAATAATGGGTCTTTTCTTCTTCATAGTTTTCTGTTTTTAACAATTTTTCCAGGTTTACAATTAATGAAAAATAGTCATTAACAAGCTGATTAGCATCATACCAAAGTTTGCCCTATATCTTGTATAACTGGCACATATTCACTGAATCTACTCAAATTTAATAAATTTCGAATATTTTTAAAGAATTTCTAGAGTTACAGATGATAATCAAAGTTTTGATAAAGTGAACTAGAAGATCTTTAAGAGAAATTTTTTTCAATCATTCAAACATTTTTTGAGAGCCTACAATTTGTCAGGTATAGACACTATGATGATAATCAGACAAGATATGGTCTATCTTTAATAAACGATGTTTGGGTAACTCAACAGCCACAAGAAAAAAGAATTAGATCAACCATATATCAGAATAATTTCCAAACAGATCGAAGATTCAAATGTAAATAATGAAACAAACCAGTTCTAGAGGGGGGAAAAAAGTGAATTCCTTTATAACTTGGGAGAAGTAACTTTCCTAAATATAACAAAACCCAAAAGCAGT